GTGCTTTGAATTCAACTTAAAATGATGCGGCCAACTGCGACCCACTGACGTTCAGTGTTTGTCAAATTCAACTTTTTTTTTTATTGAAAAAGTGCATTTTTAGATCGAATTTAGCAAAAAGTTATTTGAAAAAGTTGTGTCTACGGCAATTTTATATCCATATGCCAAATTTTATGCAACTAGGATGAAGTTATCGTTTTGCTTATTTTTGACAGATATCCCCTTTATTTTAAAAAACAAGTTCGGTTAATTGTCATCAATTCGTGTATACATAACTCATCATGGACTTCAACTTTGCTAATGAATTTTTACTCATACGGACATTTTTAGAGAGAAATTAAAAATGTGCTGATTCAGACCTTGTGTGAAATATCTAGAAGCTCCATTTCAACAGCTTCTCAATCACTGAATAAGTAAATTGTTATATCTTAGCCACTAACTTTTTCATCTCAGTGGACTAAACACGAATACTCGTTTTTCTCTGTATTTTCATTTTCATTTGAATGCGTGGAATATACTGTTCTATCCTGAATCAGAAACAGACAATGAGGACAAAAGAATTTCGCACTGGAGTGATTTAAATGTTCGTATTTTCGAAGAAAAACTATATAAATTCTGCAACCATTTCAATAAAAATTCAGATTTTCATTGATAATTTCATTCAAATAACTTCGATTTGGGTACTGACGTATTTTAAACAACTTGTAATTCTCACCTTGATGTACCATTTGATGTTAATGTCTTAGGGGAAGTTATATTCCGACAATCGTCCAATTTTCCAAAGCCAAAGATAACTGTGTATGTAAGAATCCTTCAATGTCTAAATGTGAATGTAGACTAAATGTTGGAAATATATAGACTGCATAGCATTACAACGGTGGTATAATTGTAACATCTGTACCACATTAATAAAGATGTATGAACATATAAAAAAAAATGTTTTATTAATACTGGCTCAATTTCTATGAGAGTCTGAGATGAGAGGAGTGATTTCTATAAATGATGATGAGAAACCTTCAAACTGTAATTATCAAGTAGATAAATCCCTCCATTTTGGATACATACTTTTCTTTGATACTTTAACAATTTCTCAACATCCAGCTGTGCTTCAGTAAAATACGTTATGGGTTTGTGAGGCCCGATTTGTAGTCTTTTGGAATCAAGGAAGCACTCTAGTCTATTTCTTTGGACAAAAATGGGGAGAAATTAAGAATTTCCAATGAACATGCTACGTCTGTGGTTTCTGAAAATACCATCAGCTACACTCAGCTTTATCAAGTGACCCAACAGTCCAATATTAGGTATAATGAGAAAATGATTTGTGGGGCCTGCAGAATTTCAACAGAAAAGAAGAAGCGGTGAATCTCAGTCAGATTTGGAACCCCATTTTAAGGAATTCGAGAATATCGAACAGAATGACAACACGCAGCACGATTATTAATGTTCCAGGTTCAAGTACAGGTAGAAGTACAGGTAGAGATGCAAGTACCAATACAACTGATTATCTGACAAGGCATAAATACGCTTTACGAAGCCTAAAAGTTAGGCATCGGACAGCAAGCCATGATGGTTAAACCTCTGAAGAAGCCACTCGCGCCAGCGAAACGGCAGGAAGAAATTCCAAAAATCCACGGCTTTCAAACTCGAAAAATAAGGACACAGAAAAACTCAGCCGCGAAAGTCTGAACCATTTTGTCAAACTAGGTCACTCTGTAATTAATAATGATTTTTTTGAACTCCAGTTATGGATTTTGCAGTATATCACGACATCTGTACGTCAGAGCAACAAGTAAAATATTGTATTTCTTTCAGTTTGAAATACAGATTTCTTTTTATTGTATAAAATACTATTCTCTACATAGATTCCGTTTTACCTTTGGAATAGTGATTCATTCAAGAAAACGAAACAATTTTGAAGAATCGATCGTCAGCAGCTTCGTTTCTTTGAAGATCTACATCACTGAATGAAAGCTGAGGAAATTTCTTGACATGTGACTGGAAAATAACAGATTTATTTTCGAAATTTTCTGAATTCACTGAATCGACAATAAATGTCCATCAATTAACACAAACTCAAACCCGAACAGGAAAGATATCATTCGAAAATGTGACTATAGATACGTTTCAGTGAGCACGCAGTGAAACTTTCATTACTATTATTATTATTACATCTTTATTAGCTTTTATAATACGGTCCATATTTTTACCGTTCTTCGTAGTGAACAATAATGTACCAAAAATAAAAATTTTTACTTTCATCAGAGGCCTACTCTCCCCCCCAGCCAGGAAGGGGTACCCTGTGAAGGGCAGTACTGATGTCTAATGACTTTCATACTGCCACTATCTCTTAGTCATGAACCCATTTGGTTTCCTGACAAAAATCAGCTACAAGGGTATTGGAGCTAGGCTCCAACCTGATTGAACTGAGGATGAGCTTGGTCAAAAGCCTACTGAGGCCCTACTCTTTCTATTTTCTCTCTATCGAATGTCTCAATCATAAATGAAGTGAAAAACATCAATGGACTGGAATGGGGTCTATTGGAATGGGGTGTGGTGGAAGTGGAATGGAGGGGCGTGGGGGGAACAGGAATAGGAAGGAGTAGGAAGAAGGGGGATTGGAGAGGTCAGGAGCTTTGAGCCCAAATCTTCAATGTTGTTGAACCCATGCATTGGCTTATCCCTGTATTGCCGCAGGAGTAATGTTACTTTCACGGCTTTCATGTGGACCTCTTGCTGAACGGGTTCTAACTCAGCGACAGAGTTGTGATCACCTCTGTCAGGTGTCAAAAACTGAACCAAATTCATCATCCGCTCGGGTAGCAGCCCTGAAAAGGAAATCTCAAAATACTTGCTATATCATGGTCGCCGACCATGTGGAGGTAGGGAACTCCAGATGGCTTTACGGACTACATCCAGTAACATTCTGTCATGTAGACACTCCAAAATCGAAAGTCCACAGCCTTCTTGTTGACGAGGGAAGTACAACCGTGGAACGGACGATTTGGGATGTAAAATTCTATGGAGATGCATAATTTCACGAGACTTCAGGTCGAGTTGATACAGCTTCCCCCGAATTCAGTCCAGTCAGTCAGTCAGTCAGTACCAGATCTATCTAACTTTGTGCTGACACTTACCACGAAGAGAGTTTACTGCTGTTACCTCTTTTGGGGGGCATTGTTCCTCCCTGAGGTAAATATATATATCTCCGGCATCCAGATGGTGCAAGACGCTTCCATTTGCAAGCTACACATCCTTCATGATTCCCACATCGTCCTCTTCTGAGTTGAATTGTTACACATTTTCATACCTATCGCGCGCATCTCCATGTGGCAGATAGGGGAACGGTCAGGGGACTGGAGGCCCTGTCCGAAAAACCAATTTGGCCTTACGGACGGGGTCGCCGGACTCCTGGTCAGTGACAGAAATAAGTAGGGTGAGGGGAACTAGAACCCTGCAAAAACCTTTGTAAAATATGCCACCGTGGACCAGCCTACCCAAGCTAAGGTGTATGGAATCGTGCCGACAGCTGAATGTCCTCAGGGTGATATGCGGTCACGAATGATCCCCTTGGGGAACTGGACGAAACTTCATTGTAATCATCCTACCTCTGGTAATGCGGGGCTCTGCTAGATGTAACCAACTCTTTTCTTGCTACTCGTGGGAACACACATGAACGAATAAACAGAAACAACAAGAATGAAAACCAATCACGAGGCTGGACAGAAGTGCTGACCCCAGTCTAAGGCGGCGTCTGGGGATGAACATAAATGCCCACTCCAATCTACCGCTTGGAATGAGACTGGACATAGCAGATCACCTCCAACAGCAAGGGCACTTCCTGCGGTGGGCACCAAGAGCTCCGCCTTGAATAAAGGCAAGGAACCGGCTGCCCCTGCAGGAAAGCTCTCTCACTTGTGCACCTCTACGGAGGTCCCCAAGAAGGTTGAAGAAGCAGCGCAATGACAGTTATATCGCTGCACCTTCCAGAACCTTCGCGAAGGCCACCGTGACACACCTCAAGGTTGCCAAAGAGAGTATGTCTTCGGAAAGTCTTGGCCTACACCTGCCAATACAAAGGAGATGTCTCCTACTGACCTGTTCACCTTCCTGGAAAGGACAGGATGGACGATGGCCTAGGAGGCGACTCCTCGGAAGGATGTACAATGGGTCATATGTGGCTTGAGTGCTGTGAGTCTACACTCATCCTCCCTACTATACACATACCAGGAGATACCGATAGCAATCGTGTACTCTTCAACCATGGCGCTCCTTTTCTCCAGAGGCATAAAGTTTGAGATCATCCATATGAACCAAAGACCTTATGCCTCCAGTTTCCGGGGGAGCCACAGTTACATCCTCGAGTATTTCTGAGCGTAAGAGATAATAGCAGTAGTGAGATGCAGAAAAGAAAGAAAAGAAGGGGACCGAGGGAGTAGCCCCGCTCTGTTTGAACACCAGCCTGAGCAGATGTTATGGTGTAGCGAGGCCACCAGAGTGGAATCAATTCTTCAAGGCGACCCACAATTTTCTCAAATTCAAGATGAGCTCATGCGATATTGTATCAAATGCCTTGCGGTAATCGATCCAAGCCATAGAGGGGTTACCTTAACACTGTATTGAGTCCTACGTCACACATCCATGACCATCTATCTATACATGATTATATACTTTCATAGGTGAATCTCGCGACTCGCGACTCAGGACATGTTGATGAAGCCTGAGTCCGAATTTTCAACATTCAATTAAATCTGTCTGGTTTTCCGTTAACCAGCTGTCGCACCCCTACGAACGACAACCCTCAGAAGCCGAAACTTGTGCGTGCTAAGGAATAACGAGGTCTAACGTGTGATTCCTAACACAGTTATTCATATAGGGCCTTCCGTTAATTTTTTGAGCATCTTCCTTCAGAGGTCACTGTTGAGCGAGGCAAGAAACCGCGTGGGTCGCATGCCTGCCCGGAGCGAAAGTAGAGGTAGACGCGACCTACGAGTATTCCGGTTGTCGTCGATCGTCGTTCGTGCGCGGTGCAGTCTCGTCGCGACTCATCGCGGGTCAAGTGTGCCTTGGTTACTCTTACTTTTCCACTGACGACGATTGTTTGTTCGAAGTTCCTCACCGATCCTCGCTTCGTGACGAAATTGTTGATGAGGTGAGTCGTCTTGGGTCTTCTTGGCATTTTTCATTATTGTTACGATAAAAGTACTGATAATGGGTTTCCACAAGGCACTCTTCTTGGGCCCCTTCGGTCTACAGTTAGCTTTATTTTGGGCTTTCATCTAAGCTAATATCAATAAATCAGTAGTGAAAATATTTCAAAGTATAAGCTTTTATTACCTGAATCTGAAGAAAAAATAAGTTCAAATTGAAGATTCACATGTTCTATAAAAAACATGAATATTTCTTCAAACTCATAGTGAGATGCAATTTAAAAATCATACAAAACCATCAATTTATTCTAATATCCTTCCAGTATTGTGAGTATGGCTAGACCAAGATCATTTTGAATTCAATAACACAATATATAAAAACAGCGAAGGCCTCGAATTGGGTAGTCCTTTAAGTCTTCTCTTCGCTGAAATTTTCATGAAAATATTACAAAAAACTGTTCAACAACATCCATTTCTCAAATGTGTTCATTAGTGCAAGTATGCTGACGATGTTATAGCTTGCTTCACGGTAACACATCGACAATTAGAGTCATTTTTCCAACATGACAATTCTATTCACAAAACCATAAAATTCATAATGAAACTAAAAACCAATTATTTCAATTTTGAGACCTTACAACAAATACAGCAAGTACAGCAAATATGATTTCGCAATTTACCAGGAACCAACCCATACAAACAATAACCGTTCTAATCCTCCTCATCAACATAAATCAGCAGCTAACCACAGAATGATCCACACAGAGTTGAATTTGATGAAACAAATTGCAATAAACAACAACTTCAATCCGACCAAAAACTTTCTAAACGGGCTATCAACCAAGTACTTGTATACCCCAACACCAAAATTATTACTGAAACCTACAGAATACATATACAGATGAAATAAAAAGAAAGCTTAAGATATAAAATAATAATAATACTAATAATAATATACTTTATTGTCATTAAGAATGAATCTTGTGGACAAAGCTTGTGAAAAATAAATACAAATGTAAGTATAGAAACATAAAATGTGAATTTAAAAAAAAACACCTTCAAAAAGTAAAGTTAGAACATACACTATAGTTCAACGCTATCATGACATACAATTCACTATTTCATAATGTTATTACATATGGATTATTAAATTGGGGACACTCTATCTACTTAGAGCCTATTTTTTTACTCCAAAAAAGAGCAATTAGCGCAATTGTAGGTTTAAACAGATTGGAAAGTTGTAAGCCGTGGTTTGTACAGCTAGGTATTTTGACGTTACCTTCATCAGTCATATATACTAACTTGGTATTCATAAAAGAAAATAGCAGCAACTATCAAACACTTAGTGATAATCATAATTATAATACAAGAAATAGAGACAACCTGCTGATTCCACAACATAAATTAGCAAGTACTAGTCGAATGAGACTGTTTAATAAATTAACTATTGAATTGAAAGATACACACCTGGAAATATTCAAAAAGAAACTGAAGAGTATTCTGTTGAGGAAAGCCTACTACGAAGTAAATGATTTCGAATTGTCCTAAGTTAATTTGAATTACAATTCCTGTTATTTTTTCATTCTTTTGTTTGTTTAAGTTTGTTTCAAATTATTACATAATACTCCTAACTCTTATTTATAAATATGACTTACAGATTTGTTAATATTCTATATGGACCTTGATTTGTTTATGTTTCACTTTTAAATTTCGTTTCATATGTCATGTGTTAGTAATAATGTTGTAATTTTACGTTGTAAATAATTTATAATTTACAATTTTATATATGTCATATATGTGTATTTTATGTGACTTGTCCAGACACCATGGTATACTGTGTGATCAATAAACCAAATAAATAAATAAATAAAATAAACTACTCATCAGGAGATTTTGTATAAAAAATACAGTCAGTAACTAAATACAAGAAATATTAGAATATCTATATATTATAGATACACCATTCTTCCTGGATCCCAACTATAAAAGGGCCAGATCTATTTTGTTTTTGTTTTGCGAATAAATTGTTATACTTTTTTGTCTCTTAACCCAAACCAGCATTGTTTTCCTGTTCATTGTAGTTGACATCTTCAGCTTCCTTTGTTGTGGGACAACATGGAAGTCTCGACAAGGTTTAAATTTCTTGTATTTTCCTTCGTGAGATATCTATCATTCAAGATGGAGTTGTGTTGATGATGAATTATTTATCTCTTCACAAAGTGAAGCTTCCTACGTATAGAAGACGGTGAATAACAAAACTAATTCAGTTTAATAGGTAGATCCAAAACAAGCCTCGAGAAGAGAATTTTTTCTAGTGATAGGAAAAAAGGGCTTATTTTGAATGTATTTTCCGCCAGAGTAGATCAGTAGATTTGGAACCAGGTGTGTGAAATAAATCTAAAGAAAACACTTTTCTCATTCCACATCTAAGTCTTTTTCATCTTCTGAAGATGCTAATTTTGGTCACAAAACGGGCTCCGAAAGAATAGTATATTGTATAACAATTGAGAAAAACGACATATTCCTCACGAGCGCAGAAGTTTGTTTGAAGTTTGAATTAAAGGGGTGAGAAATATGTCATTTTCTCACGCATTGTACACTGTACTTTTTCTACGGTTGCGTTGTTTTCAAGTATTGAAAATTTAAATACATATATAATAATACTTGTATGACATCAACTCATTGTTATATTTTAATTAAAATAGTAATTTTGGAGCATATTTTTCAGACTTGCGTTTTTGAAAATGCACGTAGTTTTACGTATTTTGATATATCAACACAGTTTTTAATAATTAAGATACTCCTCAGTATTGAGTACTGAGACCATAATGTTGATGATTTCAATCTTCCTGACAACTCTTCAAAATAAACTAAGAAGGTATTTTCGAAAAAAGAATTTACCTTGGCATTCATTTTCAAGTCCATAAAATTTCTGTAAGCGATTTTATATTTTTTTCTCGATGTGCTTTGTGGCAAATTATTGCAAACATCTCTATTGCTTTTCGAACAATTTCTGGAGGTGTATTTTCCAACTCTAAATCTTCCTGTTCCATTATATTCAATATTTAATAAATCTGAACTGTTTATACTATAACAATCAACAATAAAACTATTTTCGTTGGGTAAGTTGACAGCAATAATTGTGCAGTGATTCAGTTTTGTTGTTATGGAAACGCCGACAATGGGCTACTTGGATATTGCACGCGAATCGTAGGCGTAGCGTTGTCAACATGGAGAACGTGTCATATCAATCTGACATGTAACAATTCATGACTGACTTGGGTTATCGTCATAACAGTGAGAAATTATTTCTCATTGTAATGGCGAAAATTTCTCACTGCGTGAGAAATCTTTCGTTTTCAACGTATGGAAGCAATGAGAAACGTGCCACTGTTTTTGTTCTAGTATGATAACGGTGTTTCCTTCAGTCTGAGTGCCAAATTAAAAAAAAAACTGGTAGAATGGGGCTTGTGAAGCCTGTGAAGCTAATTTGTTGTGTCTTGAACGTGATCACCGGAAGAAGGGCTTTAGTGGAATATTACTGAGCCCTACACTCCACTCCATTCAAAAACAAGCAAATGTTTCATTTTTACTTTACAACTTCAGTAAAATTCGCTCAGATCTTTTGCTGTTCTTTAACAAGATTCCTATTGTGATTACTACAATAACAAGGTATATTTTATTGGTTTGAATAGCATTTTCCTCGAGTCAAATGAGTCTACAAAGGGACATGATGCATTAGAAATATTCAGAAAAGCAATACCCTAATGACCAATGACCAATCCACTAGCTCGAACTGACCTACTTAGGCGAGTTAGCAGCAAATTATTCATCACATAATTTCATGGCACGAATGGGCCCAACCCATGAATACATGTTTGATCTCACAAAAAAGTTCCTTTAAGAACGATTACGGACATTTATACATACCAGATGGGTTCGTTCACACAAACATTCAAAACTCTCATGTCGGAAATATGTGGATTGAGGCTTATCTTTGAGTTATGCAAATTTTATGCAAGGCTCATTAATGTAACTGTATATTAATATCCAGGAGGTGCAATTTTCTTTAAGATTCGAGAAGAATAATAAGTTATGTAAGGTTGAATGTATGGGTCTTGATTTGGAGGAAGTGGTAATGGACGGTGAGTCATCTTTGTCACTATCTCGGTGTTTACTTTATTATGGATGCATAGAAACTAAAAATAGAATAATCAATACTCGTAAATGTTGATGTAAGCGAAAAATTCATTGCATTGTTATGGATACAATTCTGATTGTGGTAGTCATAATTTACACACCATATGGAAGCAATTTTTCTCAAATTCGAAAAAGTTTTTGTATAAAACAAATATTGACTTTTATAATTCTCAAATGAAAAGGAGTTAGACAGCTGACAGAAAAAAACAATTCGTTTACGGAACTGGCAGAATGAGCTGTTAAGCTTCAAAGTATAACAATCTATGATATTCTGAAAGATTTTATTCTGATTTCATGTGGATTTTTCAGATTAAAACTATGTAATTTCAAACCACACATCGTCTATCATTACCATGCCGGATATTGATGATAATTCGTCTCTTTCATAGTTGAACTATTTCAATTTAGGACTGACCTGAATAATTAGGTCATAATCTCCTTCATGTCCTAAATGAATCATTAGGGTTCGTTTATTTCATCAATTTTGAACAAATTTAAATCAGTGAAAGAAAATCCAGACAATTCATCATTCAGTTTTGTTTTTTAATTTTCCTGATATAGCCCTGAAGAAAGGTTTTGCTTTTGACTAATATCAAATAGTGTTATATTATATGTTAAATGTGATATATGCTAATTATCAAACCCTAAAAAAGTGGGGACCCGAAAGTTAATTTTTTCGTTTTATTCATCCCAGAAGACATGTTCACGAACAAAGAGTTTAAAACAAAAATTAAAATTATGCGATATTTTTACACAGTCTGCTAAGAGTGAATACTTGTGTTTGACTGGATTAGTTTAAAAA